AGCAAAGCCCAAGATGGCTGTCTGGAGCTTCAGCTGTGGAGTAAGGCTTAGGTCTTCCTGCTAGTCACCCAGTGGGCTGCTCTTTTCCCCAGTCTCTTGCTTAGAGAAAACATACCCACTTCCCAGCATCCCTCAGTCTTTCTCTCTTCCTTGTCACTCAGTCTCGGGTTATCTGCCAGTATGTGGGAGATAAATATTGTTGCTTCCCAAGTCTTGGGGTTCCTAGCCAGTCTATTTTTTTTGTCTTGTTTTCTTTCTAAGGCATGTAATTGCACTTCATGGAGAGAAGCGATGTAAAGTGAGTCTATATAATCTTTTTCTAGAGCCAGAAGTTCTGGCATGGTTTAAATTTGCACTTAACATGAGTGAGCAACTCTTGTCAAGTATTAAAACTTTTAGAGGGGCCGGAGAGATGGCTTATTGGCTAGAAGCACTAGCTGCTCTTGCAGAGGACCTACATTTAGTTCTCAACACTAACTCCAGTTCAAAGGGTTCCTTTTCTGATCCCCAGAGGTACTGGATAAGCACATGGTGCACATACAGACATGAAAGCAAAACGCCAATATTTATATATAATAAAATAAAAAGAATCCTAGCCAGGTGGTGGTGGTGCACACCTTTAATTTACCCAGCATTCAGGAGGCAGAGCCAGGCAGATCTCTGAGTTCGAGGCCAGCCTGGTTTATTAAAAAAAAATAAATAAAAATAAAACTATTCTATTCAGGTGTGGTGGTGGTGCACACCTTTAATCTCAGCACTCGAGAGGCAGATGCAGGAGGATCATTGAGTTTAAGGCTTTCCTCTTCTACTTAGTTCCAGGCCAGCCAGGGCTACATAGTGAGACCCTGTCTCAACCAACCAAGCAAACAAAAAATGTTTTAGAGCTGGGTATGGTGGTGGCACACGCCTTTAATCCCAGCACTTGGGAGGCAGAGACAGAAGGATCTCTGTGAGTTTGAGGCCAGCCTGGTCTACATTGCAAGTTCTGGGAGAGCTAGCGCCCCTGTCTCAAACATAGATTCCTTTGTGACTTCCCATTCCCTTCCAGGAACTCCACAACCACCATATTTTCTGGGAGCGCAGAGCAATGCAGTGCTCACCCCTCATCATCAGAGTGTCTGTAAACTGTAGATACTGTCTAGTGTATTGATTATCTTTTAAAAATGTTTACTATTTGTATTTATGTGTATGTGTGTGTGCTTGCATGATTTTATGTGCACCACTTGTGTGCAGGTTCCTTTGGAAGCCAGAGGGTGCTAGAGCCCCTAAAATTAGAATTCCAGGTGGTTGTGAGCTGCCTGATGTGGGTACTAGGAAATGAAGCCTGGTAATCTGCAAGAACAGTAACTGCTCTTAACCAATGAGCCATTTCCCCAGCTCCATGTTGGTTACTTTTTGGTTTTGGCTTTGTTTATGATATGTATTTTTTGATACAGGGTCTCAGTGTGTAACCCTGGCTGGCCTAGAACCTGCTCTGTAGACCAGCCTGGCCTGTAGACCACAGAGATCTGACTGCCTCTATCAATCCCAATGGGATTAAAGGTGTACACCACCATACCTGTGTGACATTATTTTTATTTTGTTGTTTTTTAAACAGGGTCTCCCGTGTAGCTCTGTCAGGCCTGGATCTCAATATGTATACCAGGCTGACCTTGAAGCCACAGAGATCTGCCTACCTCTGTGTCAGGAGTACTAAAATTTAAAGGTGTGCACCACCATGCCTGACTTTTTGGTGTGTGTGTGTGGCTTATTGTAAATATTTTTTCAATACTTTGTATTTTTATGTAGCTCAAGGTGGACTTGAACTTGTGATCCTCCTGTTTCTACCTCTGCAGTGCCAGGATTCAAGACAAGGGTGCAGAGGCTGTGTGGTCTTTGGAGTGCAGTTCAGCTTTGGAGTGGTAGTGCACGCCTGCAATTCCAACCCTTGGGAGGGTGAGGCAGGAGGTTTGCTAGGAATCCAAGGCCAGTCTGGGCTGCCTAGTGAGCTCAAGGCCAGATGGGGCTGTAGAGTGAGACCCTGCCTCAGCAAACCAAAACCAACCTCCAACAAAAATGCAGCTAAATAATGTAGTTAAATATATCAATGTTTTCCTAGCTTCTGGGCTTTGTGTCCTTGAGAAAGCCTTCTCGTTTCGAGATTGGTTTTTTCTGATGCTTTGTTCTGGTTTCCAGCAGGCCTTGTTCTATCTTCTTGGTAATGTTCCATTTGTTCCTCTGATTGGAGGCTGTGCTCCCACCCTCACTAGTTTTGCTGCCCTGTGCAAGTTCAATTCATCCTTCAAGGCCATGACTGCCTTGGAACTGTGAGTTCCTTTTAATCAGGGACAGGGTCTCTCTAGCTTATCCCTAGGGAACAAGATGGACACTTGGCTCTTAGAGACATTGCTACCTGTCCTCATTTGCTCCAGGCTGTGGGGTCCTTGCCAGCACGCCTTGCTCCTTACCTGTGTGATCTAGGGCCTAAGCAAGGAGACCCCGGGATTTGCCTTCTGGAACTAATGAAGGTATCCAGCTGTGAAGAGGGCTGAGTATAAAACAGTGGCGGCAGGAATGGAGATTTGCACAACCGTCTTCCACTGTGTCTGTTTCTGTCTGCGCTGTCCCTATCCTTCCCTAGTAGACCTGGCCCTCTCTGGAAGATACGTCCTGCCTCCCTTCCCCCTTTAGCTTCACGGAGAGCTGGCTTAGGTGACCACACTTCTTGGGTCCGGACACCAGGAGGCAGGGTTGCTCTCTTCCTCACAGAAACACCTTCTCTAGGTGCGATGGTAACTTCAGGGGGAGCTAAGGATGCCCATATGCCCATACAGCCAGCAAAATTTCCATCTCCGGATGTGGCGATGAGAGACTGGCATTTAAATAATCAGTAGATGGAGTAATGGATGTGTGACTAAGCATCATCTAATCTGTTGAGAGCTTGACTAGAACTAACAGGAAGAGGAAAGGTGAATTAGAGCTGGAACACTCATCTTGCTCATCTGCCCTTGGATGTTACTCAGCACTCCTGAAACTTTGGTCTTCAGATCTTGGTGCTATGACTGCCCTCTGACCCCCGTAGGCCTTCACATCCACACTGAGTCACACCACTGACTTTCCTGTATCTTTGATTGCGGACAGCAGATTGAGGGACTCCTTGGTCTCTACAACCTCGTATTTGTGTGCACTACGTTATTATACGTATCATATATACTAGAAATTACATGTATATATATAATTTCTCTCTCTTCTCTCTCTCTCTCTCTCTCTCTCTCTCTCTCTCTCTCTCTCTCTCCACACACACACACACACACACACACACACACACACACAGAGTTTTTTCCCCTAGGGATAGATACATCTTCATACCAAGACGCAAAGCAGGGTTGGCAAGGATACACTCGGAACAGGTAAAGAGCTATTTCTCTGGAGGACCAGAGGTGGTCAGGATTAAGGGAGAGAGCTGGACAAAGGCTTCTTTAACTGTATCTGGACTCTCTCTCTCTCTTCCTCCCTCCCTCTCTCCCTTCTTCTCTTTCTTTTTGGTCTTATTTTGTAGCTCTGGGTGGCCTGGAACTTGCTATGTCTATCAGGCTGGCCTCAAATTCACAGAGATTTGATTGCTTCTGTCCAACCTAAGTTTTTACTTCATAATTGGTGCTTTGAGTTTTGCAGTGCTGGGGATAGAACCCAGAACTCATGCATGCTAAGCAAGTGCTCTACCACCAAGCCACATATCCTAGATTATACCATGTATTTATTACTTGTAAGATGTGAAAATAAATAAAGGGACCGGTTCAATCCTAGAATGCCTTCCCCAAACATCACAGGTAGATGGAGTTATTCCTTTTTCTGGGATCAAATAATACTGTTCCTTGTGCTCTGGAGAATACAGGTTTATTGCAATGTTTGTGTCCTTCTTTCTCTGAGATGGGAAACACCCTCAAAGGTACAAACTTCATCTAATTCTTGATCCCAGTGTTCAGCAAAGTGCCTGACTCTGAACAGGTCCTCAGGGAAGGCCTTTTAGTAGTAGGCGTCTTGAATGTGCTCACCATGGGACAAGTCTCATGTTGCTCCCCAAAGGCTAATTAATAATGTTCAGTGGTCAAAGAAGAACATCCTCAGGAGTCCGAAATGTGGGCAGCAGTTTCCAGCCCTTACATGAGGCCAGGGCTGCATTAAGACCTCGGATCTGAGGCAGAGTCATTATCTTGTCGCTTGGCTTTCTTTTGAACTCACTGCCTCAAGAGGTCTCTAAACATTGAAGTTGTCAAGCCTGGACCTTGTTTGTACTTTTTAGGTTGGAGAGGGCCAGTCTAAACAGGACATCCTCACACAGGGTGGCCAAGGAGGTAGGAATGAGGGGACACACAGGCTAGCTTAGAGTCATCTAGGCTTGGAGGAGAGGAACAAGGAGGTGTCAGAGGGGCTTGAAGAAGGCACCTGGAATCTTGCTTTAATGACAAAAAAGTTTATGTGTATGCATTTTGCCTGTATATATGTGTACCGCATATATGCTTGATGCTGGAGGTCAGAAAAGGATGTCAGATACCCTGGAATGGGAATTATGGCTGGCTGTGAGTTGCCCCTGTGGGTGCTGGGAACTGAATCCCAGTCCTCTGCAAAAGCAATACATGCTTTTAATTCTTGAGCCATCATTTCAAACCTGGATTGGCGGCTTCTAGTGTTGGGAACATATGCCATGTAGCCAAGGGTGTGCCAATGGCAAGGAAGCTGCAGACAAATTTGAAGCAGCTTGTCTTCCAAGAATGCCTTGACCACCAGCTCCTGTGCTCAACCTTCAAGAGGACAGTGTTTGTGGGGTGTTAGGGAATTGAAGCTAAGTACCTGGACTCTTGAGGAGATAAGGGCAGTGGTAGCAGCAGCAAGAGTTCCGAGACCACCTTTGCTAACCCTCCCCAAAATCCTCAGACTCTTGCAACCCAGAATTAACAAGACTATGAGAGTGCACACCACAACTTTAGACATTGATAAAGAACATAGTCAGTTATCTCTTTGCAAGTAACTTTTATTTACAACTGAATTGGTGGCTTTGTTCCTCAATTTTTAGGGACACTTGGAATCGGCAGCCAGAGGGAAAATCTGCAGTGAAATCAAACTCATTCTACCCCAGCCATAGCTCAGGAAGCTCATTGGCTCGGTCTAGCCCCAGCTCTACCACCAGAGACATCAGCACTTCCTCATCCACTGGGTCAGAATCAATGATAGTAGGGCTCTGGGAACCAGAAGGAGTGGCTGATTCTCCCCCTTCTGCCCCTTCCAAACCTTCCACCCCTTCCACCTCTTCCACCCCGAAGCCCCAGTTTGGCAGGGGCCCTGCCTCCCCTGGTTGGTCTGGAGTGGCAGCAGCAGCTGCTGCCGCAGCGGCAGCGGCCCCATGATACTGGCTATTAAGCTTCTGCAGCTGCATACTGGCCAGCAGATGAGGGGCAGGGAGCAGGTTGAAGGGTGGGGGCTTGGTAGAAGGGCTGGCAGTAGGAGAGCCTCCTGGAGATGCTGATCCAGAGGAGCTCGCAGGAGCTCCATTGGCTTTGGCTCCATTTGAGTTGACCGCAGGGTAGTGCAGGATGGCCACTGCTTTGTGTTCCTTCACCCCGAGGTTGGAGTAGTCCAGAGAGGTCATCTCCTGGTCGCCATTCTAGAAGACAGAAAGGTATACCATAGTAGCCCTCCTGGTTTTCTTTTTGGCATTCACTGGATCTGGACTGCTCCTGCATGCCCTGCATTTACTGCTAATAGTGGGAAGGTGAGAGGAAGAGCCCCTGGACAGTGAGCTTTCTTTGGCTACTATGGTTCTGATTCCTAAGTTATCCAAAGTGGGCCTCCCTCCCCTGCTACTCAATGTGGCCCCCATCTAAAAAGGGCACCCCTTTGTCCCTCTCCTCAGCCCCACTATAATCTCTTTGCTACAGTGGTCTTGTTTCAATTCTGCTTCTTTGCTCCCTTCCTGCTGTCTGTCTTTCAATACCCCTAGTGAGTTCAATTCAATTGCTTTTAGACAAAAGCTACTCTCATTTTTCCCGACAAAGCCCTGCTGTATCTTCTCTGGTCAATCACACTGGCTACATGCACACCTAGGAAGGCTAGGAGCATGTCCCCTAAAGTCCATCTTTCCATGCCGCAGTATCTCCATCGGTAAAGTGGCAAAACTTACCTCCTTCACAGAGTTGGCACCACCCTTGACATCAAGTGCAGGCCTTGACATAGTTGGCATTTCAGAGTCTGGGCAGAAGTCAGATAAATCGGTGGGAGTTGAGGCCTCCAGCTGGAGCTGTTCGTCTGTAAGTAAAAGAGAAAAAATGAATAAAGGTGAAAGGCTTTCTTGACAAAGGAAGCACTAGAAAATTCCAAGTCAGGATCCATTCAGCTACACAAGGACGCTGATCAGATTAAACTAAACAAAAATAAAAAACCAAAACAAAACAAAAAACCAAAAAACCAACCAACCAAACAAACAAAAAAACAGAGAGAATCTGGGCAGGGAGCAGAGACTGAGGTGAACTCTGACCCGAGGCCAGGAATATGCTCTATTCAGCCAGGCTCTAACAACGACCCCCAATGCCGAGAGAGAACACATGAACATTTACTCATACAGGTTATTACAGAGTCCAAAGCTAGGGGTGGCGCTGTTCCTGATTCCCAGAGCAGGCATGTCCCTGAGAAAGCAGCGCACCACGTCAATGGACCACTAGCCGCCAGGTCTAGGTCTCCGATGGGACTGGGGGAAAGAGAGAATTCGGGAGAAGGATGCCCTAGAGTCTCCAAAGCCCTGTCTTGGGGTATGCCTACAAGAAGACAGCAGACCAGGGGGTTTTGGAGGCTCCGAGGCAGCAGGAGCCACAGAACAGCTGGAAGTAGCTCAGTTCCTCCATGTCTCAAGCACCTACGAGACAGTCCCTAGATTGGGCTTTGCTAGGACAACTGTCCCAGAGCCCATAGCCAGGCCACACCCATGTGGGCACGAGAGAAGAAAGGATTCTTCCTGGAGGGAAAATCCGATGAATCCAATGGTTTTCAGCCTGGAAGCAGCGGCAGCAGTTTGTAAAGCAGCATCTTGCAGTCCTTTGCCACATAGCTCTCCTGACCACAGGTCAAGTCCTCATACCCGAAATACTCAGATGGCTTCTAAAGAAATGATTCTCTTGCCCATGTGCCAAAGAGATAAGAGAATAAAGGGGAAAAAAATCAAAACCAACCAACCAACCAAACAAACAAACAAACAAAAAACCACTTCGAACTCAGAAAATTAAAATTTCTTATTTTTCTGGAAGCATATGTTTAAAACCCTCATATATTCTAGCATTGTCATCTTAAGGAACCCAAGAGTCATTTCCCCAAAGAGACTAGAATTTTGCTGGGACTCTACCCTCCTTGTTACCCCCAGCGGTTGTTAAGAATGCGTTGGCTTCTAAAGGTACCACTATCCTTTTTCCTCTTCAGCAACCGCCTACTGGGAGAAAGGAAGGCAGGGAAAAAAAAAGGAGAAAACATAGAGGGGGCACTTGCTGGGTCCCGCACCACTGCTTGACTGAAGTACAAACAGAGCTGATGCAAGCCATCTATATTTCAGCCATCTATCTCAAGACAAGGGCGCTAAGCGTCTCGTCGTCAGGAGAGCCAGCACCGCCACTATAGCAAGTTCCTCATCGCTTCACCTTCGTCTCCATCTTATCCCTCCCGTATGGCACCCGTACCCAAATGTTCAAAGGAAAAAAAAAGCCCCCCCTCCCCAAGAGCAACACTAACAGGGGTTAGAAAATATGAGAAAAGTGCGTGTGTTCTAGTGTCGTCTCTCAGGGCAGGCCCTTGTAACATTCCCCTCGAGGCGCTCCAGCCCGCTCGGAAAGCGCAGAGCCCATCTCTGGGGTGATCTTATTTCCTGCCCCCCGCGATCCCATTTTCTATCCCCTACCCGATCCGTCGGCCATTGGAGGGGAACAACTTGATTCACGAATGTCTGGACGAGCCACGAAGTGACCACTGCGAAGCCGCCGGGAGCCGCCGCGGAAAAAGCCGCGCAACAAGTGCCGGCTCCGCGGCTTGCGCCTCCCCTCCCCAGCCCCGCCTGGCCGCCCCCCGCATCGATCCTCCCCCGCGCCCAAAGGGGGGTATGAGAAGCGGGGATGGAGAAAAGGGAGAGGCAGGTGGGGGGGGGGGGGTCATGAACCTGTCCAGGGAGCAAAAGTTAAAAAATGACACCAACCGGTAATCTCCATCTCCATTGCTACTGAGAAATCTAAAAACAAATCCAAACAGCACTGCGGCTTGGCTTGCACGCCTCCAAGCAGCCCGTTGTTTACCGACAGCTCCCCAGGCCTCCTCGATGCGCCCCGGTGAGGGCCACCTGCGCGGGGCTTGGCCGGACGCAGCTCTGTCCGCCAGGAGCAAGCAGCAATGCCTGAGGGCTCCAAGCTTCCGTTACCTCAGGTGCTCTGAAGCAGACAGGCGATGAGACCTACATTTTGTTCAGAGCTACTTAGAGGGATCATATGGCAGCCTCCGTGGCTTCCTTCAAGGCCCAGGGTTGATGTCAAGGCTTTCTGTCCTGTGGTCATCCAGGGCAGAAAGAGGCAGGATGCGACGACGCTGAGAAATGCTGTTCTACGGGACGGGACCATGGGGCTAGGTGCACGCATGCAGTTCACATGGTTCATGGAAAAGCCAAGAACAGGCAGCGGGTTCGAAAAGCTTGCCACAGAGTTCGCAGAGATTCCTCTTGCCTTCCCACGATGCCAGGTTATTTTATTTTGATTATATAATTATTCACATCTAGCAAGAACAACATTTTGCACTTGGAGCACATCTCTCTTGTGTTGGTACGTTTTCTTACAAATCCTTACTAAAAGAGATCTGGGGCTTCTCATTTCAAGGCATGTTCCCTGCGGCTGGAAACTCCCACCGCACCCCTTTCAGGAAGGCCACCAAGATTACCCTATGTAATCAAGCCCCCCACCCCCTCCCACCCTCTCCTTTCAACAACTCAGTTTTTACGCCGTTTGTAAAACATGGCCTTTTGAAAAAGTACGATGTTTAGGAAACGAGGGAGGAATGTTACAAAGGCCTTTTCACTGTGTGTGCCTTGTGTCATAACTGGCTTTAAAGACCTGAAGATCTTTTTTCTTCTTCTTCTTTTAGGATCGCAAGTGCCCTGAATTTGCTCTTCTAACAGAGTCAGACCTGTTTGTTGATGAAATGACCGGCTTGCTGACAAAGAGGGGCATCAATGGAGAGACAGATCTAGGCCCTTCTTTGGCATTTCGAAGAAGCTAGGGTGAGTACCCTGGATGGATAACTAGGGAAACCCATTTTACCCCCGTTGGGCTAGAAAGCAGCCTTTCTTGCGCTGCTCATTGCTGCCCCCCCCAGTCACTCTGCTGCAAGTCCAACCGGGGTAACAAGCACACTCCACTTGCCATTGCTACACTTCCTCACTTGGCTCGAAGACTCTGATTCTTTCCTGCAGAGAAGAGGCGCGGTCTGTGGGACCCTAAAGTTCTACTGGGGTAGCAGGAGAGGTACACCTCCAAAGTCTCTCGGTATTTGCCTGGGGTGAGAAAAGTTTCTGTGAAAGCAAGGGTGGAGAAGGAGCGGATTTAGGCTTGGCGTTTGAATCACGGTTGCTAATTTGGACCCCTGACCTGCCCCCTCCACCTCTGTTTGGACTCGGGCTGGTTGTAAACTACAGGACACAGCTGGGCTGCAGGCTCCCGTTCCCAGACCCGTGGATCCGCCCTCCATCTATTGGATGGCTCCCAGGCCAATTGTTAGAAAGAGGCATATGTTCATCTCAGCTTCTGGAGTGTCTCCGGAGCAGTTGCTCAACAGCTAGCCCCCTCCCCCATCCGGACCATTGAAGGCCAGAAAAAGGAGCGCCCTCCACCACACTTCTATATGCCCAAGTTCCAGAAAGATCCCCACCCCACGGGTGACTTCCTGTCATCTCCACTGCCCACCTCCCAGAGAGTAGGAATGAGAGGGCTATAAGCACTCAGCTTTGAAGCAGAAAAGTCACCCATTTCCTTTTGGGGGAATGGGAGTTGAGGTTAGTGGCAGAGACTGAGTGGGGGCTAAGAAGACATTTGCATTTCTAGGCAAATATGCCTTAGATCACTGACTTCCCAGCCGACTCCAGGGTTAGCTCGGAGCTCCGCTAAACTCTTTTCTCCAACTTAGCAAGTAGACCACAAGCTTGTGAAGCCAAGAGAGAAGTGATGCTCACCCAGCAATAGCCTTCTAAATGTCCATCATGAGCCGGACAACGAGCATCCTCTCTCTCGCATCATCTCATCCAACTCCTAGGACACCCCTGTGAGGTTGGATTACCAAAGGTGAATTAGCCTCAGAGAAGTGCCCAAGTTGGCACAGTCAAGAGGAAGGGAGTTTTTATTCTGGCGAGGCTGGCTGCAGTCTCTACCCTACAGCCCTACACCCTGCTGCCTGGAGGGCAAAGAAGAGGTCCAGAGTGCAAGTTCAGGGGTCAGTCGCCTGAACTAAATCCCTTCTCTGCCATTTGCTAGCTGTGTGGTCTTAGGGTAAGAGGCTGTGCTGGTGATGTATGTGTGCTCAGTTTTCCTATTAAGTGTATATTGTAAGAAATTAACAGAAACTGTAAGGTTAGGAAGGAATCTTCAGCTCGAGTGATTGATGCTGGGTGGTAAAATGGTTAGTACATGCTGGGATTGGTGTTGGTGCTGTAATGTGCCTTCTGATTCTTTTCCTTTGACCCCATCCCTGCCACAGCTCACACCCTTCAGGTTCAATAACACTTGCTGACTGAGTAATTGAAATATCAGACTGGGAGGGGGATGAATGAGCTCTCTAAACTCAGGAAGGAAAAGATGAGAATGCAGGTTTGTTTTCAAAACTCCACTCGCCACTGCCAAAGCTGCCTGGACCATGTGACTGGGATAAAAATGGGGTTGGTAAAAGATAATCATGCTTATAGGTCAGTCTGTAAATGTAGAAATGGACCCCAAAAATATAGTCAATATGTGCACAGAAAAGTTAAAAGGTACAAATTTAAATTAAAAAATTGTGTGTGTGTGTGTGTGTGTGTGTGTGTGTGTGTGTGTGTGTGTGTGTGCTTTCGTGATTTCATTTGCACCATATGCATGCAGGAGGTCAGAAGAGGGAATTAGATTCCCTGGAATTGGAGTTACAGGTGGTTTGTGAGCTGCTATGTGAGTGCTTGGAACTGAACCCAGGACCTCTGCAAGAGCAGTAAATGCTCTTGACTCCTGAACCATCTCTTCACCCCCCAACACACATTTATTTGAGTATATTTAGAAAAGCCAATGTGGTAGCACACACCTGTTACTCCAGTACTCAGGAGGATCATTAGTTCCAGGACAGCCTGGGTTACACAGCAAATCCCAGGCCAACCTGGGCTACACAGCAAGTTCTGGAGCAGCCTGGGCTACATATAAATAAGCATACATACATACACACATATATAAACAATTCTCTGTCATATACATATACACACATTCCATACATATACATATATGAAGGAGAATTGTTTATAATAGAAACCAACCATAAAGGTCTATGGCCAGGGAGTTTCCCTTGGTACCTTAACCACTACCTCCCAAATTCATTTTAAGATTTTAAGAACTTTTATTCATGACAAAATATTGAATAAAAGCCCTGGGTACAAAGTTGCATAAATATGAGGCCAAGGTGCGGAGGGTACAAAGGCTCCAAAATGAAGGTTTCTTTGCTTCCAACCCCATAGGACTATGGGAATAAAGCATTGGCCGGAGAAACACCCGAGAGGCAGTGCCAGTAAGGGATACGATTCTGAATTATCCTTTTCTATTTTCTCTAGTATGTAATTGTATTTACGTATTTGGTGTGTGTGGGAGATGTGTGCACGCGTGCCCCGTGTGCACCTGCCGCCGTGTATGTGTGGAGGTCAGAGGGTAGCTTCAAATGTGTGTCCTGGAGATGTAACTCAGGCCATCAGGCTCATTACCTGCGCAATCATCTCAGCAACCCAATGTCTCCTTTTTTTGAGATAGGGTCTCTCTATGTAGACTTGGCTGTCCAGGAACTCAATGTGTAGACCAGGCTGGCCCCAGACTCACAGAGATCCCCTTGCCCCTATCTCCCAGATGCTGAGATGAAAGGTGTGTGCCACCTCATCTAGCTTATTTTTCTTTTAATTAAATGTACATTTATAGTTATTAAGCTCCTTGAAAGTATATTTTGTTTCTTTTTTTGAGGCAGGATGTTATTCTGTAGCCTAGGAAGGCCTTGAACTTTCAATCATTTGGCCTCAGCCTCTTAAGTACTTGGACCTATTTTTGTTGAAATTATAAGTATACATAGAAAAAATATTGGGTGCAAATATACTAAAATGTTAACAGTGATTATAATTGAGTAGTGGAATTATGAGTAATATTTTTCTTTTTCCTTTTCGAAATTTTTTTGCAGTATGATTACATTGTTTTTTCACAATTAGAATAGATTCATAACTTGAAAAGTGCATAATCAGTAGTATTCTACTAGTGGTAAAATTATGAATGCAAATTGAAAAAAATGGGAAGGAAGTATATTGAACTATTAACAGTTTTTATATTAGCTGCTAAGGGATTGTGGGTAATTTCTTCTCATTTTTCTGTAATATGGTCTTATTATTTTTATAATTAAAATAAAATGATACCTAAAAATAGCGTATACAATATGATCCAATTTTTGCTAAAAATTAATATATGCATAGAAAAATAATTGATTATTCTGAAATGTGCTTGTCTCTGTGTGGTGGGGTATGAGTGATTTTTTATTCTTTTCTTTATAAATAAATTGTTTCTTCATTTTCCAAATTTTCTACAGCTATCATCTATTATTTTTAATTATGAAAAATGTAAACATTCATAAAGCAGTTAATAGTGGAGTACTTATGGGAAAAGGGTGCCTTTCTGAGATTTGCTTTAAAATAGTTCAGTGTGGGCCAGAGGAGACCGGATGGGGCTATAGATTAAATGAGAAAATTGTTGAGGATGGGTGTATGAGGCTTTTGTTTTCTTTTGGGAATGCTTGAAATTTTTATAATGAATATTTTTCTTAAAAAGCCTCTTTCACAAAGACCATTTCTTTTCATTTTTGCCAACTGTATGTGATTCCCTCCATTTCCCAGACAGCTGTGACTCAGAGTCGGAGTTATTTGTCCCGGGTCTTCTCACTCCAAGTCCAGGGCTCTGTCCACATCCCAGGTGCTGTTGCTGGGCATCTTCTTTTTCTTTATTGTTTTAAAAGTTTTTAAAAAGGTTTATTTATTTGTATTTTATGAGTATGGATGTTTTGCCTGCATTTATGTATGTGTACCTTGTCCATGGTGCCTGGTGGCCACAGAGCCAGAAGAGGGTGCTGGATTCCCTCGTATTGGAGCTTTGGATGGTTGTAAGCTGCCTTGAAGATGCTGGAAACTCAACCTGGGTCCTCTGGAAGAGCAGTATGTGCTCTTAACCCCTGGGCTATCTCTCCAGCCTTTCTTTTTTTGTTTGTTTCTGTTTTGCTTTTGCACTGCTGGGGATCAAATCTAGGGCTTCATGCGTACTGTACCAGTGAACTGAATCCTCAGCTCTGTTTTCTCTCTCT